TACAGAGCCACCCTCGTTCCTCCTCGGGAAAGGCTTTTCCTCCCCTCAGTCCCTGTAAAGAGATGCTCGAGGGCCTCTCCTCATTAGATGGCCTCATCTAGCCTCGTGGTTTCGGCCATCACGTACGAACTGACACCCGCCAATGCTACTGTGCACAGCCCAGAGCGTCCTGCTGAGCACACGACCTGAACATACAACTCTCGCCTAAAATCTCACTTTCATTCCGCACGTCCCAGACAAGGGGGACCCCTAGCAGCCCCGGGGCCTAGAGAGAAAGCCGGCAGTGACCGCTGGCAGGGAGGCGGCCGGGGTTCCGCAGAGGGTCGGGACTGGCAAAAGCCACCGGAGCTGAGAGATATGTGAACCCTAAATACTTAGTGTTATTTTTTAACATTTCAATCACTTTAAATCTTTTTATACACGGTCTTAATTTTGAGTTGCAAGAGATGTTTAATATATAAATCTGAATGATGCTCACAAGAATGCTGTATGGTAGACGAGCCAAGCGTTATTAGCCTAATTTTACAATTCACTCAAACATCTACTGAGCACTGTTTATGTGCCAACCGCGGGGCAAGGCGCTGCGTACAACGACTAAGACACAGTCCCTCAAGGAGCTCACAGTCTAATGGTAAATACTGAGTAAACTGAGGCACAGAGTGGTAAATGACTTACCCAGTGAGGTAGAATTAGCCAGATACATGAAAACAGGGGAATGCGAGCGGGAGAGAGGGCGGGGGACAACTAACTCCTCACAGGTCAACTCCTCTGACTGAAGAGCAAAGCTACACACAGACATGTATTACGAAATCCGCTGGCAAGAAGGTTAATTAAAAGTTTCCAATTTTCACCATGATTGAATTCATGTCTCGCAATCCATCGAGCCACTAGCTGACAGCATCCCCACACCTGCTCCTCCGTGCCAGCGGTCTGCTCACACACAACGGCTGCAGGGAGCCGCACTGAAATTCTCCAATGAAAACCATGAACTTTAAATGTACAGCATATTTAAGATACTTCTACATGTAGAAGTTTGGGAAAAAACTCTCTAACCCTCATTCAGAGGATTCTAATAAGTTATAGATACCACAGGAATTAGAGAATTTGTTACTTTCCATATATACATTATTTGGCTGTACAACGGTGAAGAGTTTCACTCGGACATATTTCATAAGTAATCTAAACATTATACAGATAGTTACAGACACCACGTGCAGGTGCGTGAGCACCCGTCCACTGCACGACAGCAAACTGCAGACACGAACCTGCGTAAGGCAATTTCTTTTCTGGTAACGTCACATGATCTTTGAAGGAGGGGGCAGAGTCCACGGAGAACTGTCCATCGCAGGCCTGACCGTCAGTTGGTTTTAGCAATACGCTTCGTGATGGAGTTATTTCGGTGGGTTGGATGTCCATTTCACTGACAAAAAGCAGTGAACAATTATAAAAAGAGTTGTTTTTTGAATGTAGAAACCATAATTATCCAGTGACCTAGGTAGTGAACTACTCAAAAATACTACTGGCCTTTACACTGCTACTGAGAACGTGAGGGCTTCACGGCTGGCTGACTGCTCTGCGGATCAAACTCGATGCATAATTCTTCCATCCAGGACGTTCCCCAAACACTTAATTCTCAAATTCTGCAAATACGAATTCTCAAAGCCTATCAGTTGCTCACTTCAAGCAATTCTTCACTTTGTTGTGGAGGATTTTCTCCTTAAAAATCAAACATGAAAGAAAGTCTTATAAGCGAACTGCTTAAAAAACAACAACTGAAGATTCTTGGGCAAGAACCACATTCTTATGTTAATGGCTAATGTTTTGAGTCTCATAGAAATAAACAAGTACCTGAAGGCACCCATCAGGGAATGCTGGTGGTCTTCTCTATGGAGACCACGGCTAGCGGGGACCCCCTTGAGACCAACCGTAATTCTAAGTTTTCACTCATATCACAATCACATGGAATTTAACTATAAAGCTGTTAGAAATATTCTAAACTACATCAAGAATTACCTTGCAATTTTTTCACTCGTGTTTTTGTGGCTAGGAAGAGTAAAACTACCTGGAGGCCATGATATACACTTATAAAATCACTATATATATATTTAAAATCATTAGACTCTTACATTTTCCTAATCACAAATTCAATGTGTTTACCTTTATCGGGGCGTTTGTTTTTAGATGAAGAGGTCCCTACACCTTCAGACACTTTGTTACTGGAGTGGTCCTGTTCCACTTCACACAAATAAACATCGATGGGCCCTTTGGTGCTCCGTATATGCACCGCGATAGAGTCCTACAGCAAAAGACACGTCAAACACCACGAAGGATGACAGAGTTCACTAATTATTCCCTTAACAGAACTGCAAAAGTTTCAAGTGACATTTCTGAAAATATAAATCCAGGGAGATTCCTTTCTATCACGTATTTGAGAAAATCACTGTTAGCTTTAATCGCATTAAATCACTGGCCAACTCGTGTCCTTAAAACTGCTACTCGGTTTCAGAGCCAGAAGTGAACACCCCCGCAGTCAGGAGCCCCATCTTTCTCTACTCAAGGAGCGAACTGACCCCATCAAGGAACCTGATTTTTGAGAAGACTCAAAAATCAGTGTTTTGATGACAGAGAAATCTAAAATACCGTGCGGTCTCAAAGAAAAGAGTGTGTGTTGAGCAGACCTCTGGGGAGGTCGTGGGCTAACTGAAAGGGCCACCCTTTCATCCACTTGAAAAAGTCAAGAGAATGAGATCAAGACGAAATATACCTTGTGTAATTTAAAACACTAAAATCTAAAAGATAGCATGAAATTGTGTGCTTCCACTAAGAATTATGCAGAATGCTTAAGAAATAGTTTGTCATGTGCATCGACTTTTAAATGTGACGCTATGAAAAGTCTTGGGCGTGTCCAAAGGGCTCAGCGAGACTTGGCAATTATAGCCTGAAGCAGCTCATAGCACAGGAAGAAACCCCCAACCCGCCGGTCACTGCAGAATGGACTATCATGCCCCATGTGCTGAAAGATTGTTTAAAAAAAAGTTTTAATATCTGTGAAATGACCTGGAATACATCTAAATCCAAATCAACAAGGCAACAGCACTGAGAAGTCACAATATGAACGTGACTGGAGTAAAAGGCAGCTGTTCCCTAGTCAAATGACGCCATGGGCTTTCACTTGGGACAGTGGTCTGCTGGGCATAAGGGACGGGTGGGTGGTAAGAATACTCCTCACTACGAGGGAGGTTAAGTCCCTACAGAATGACCACGGCATCACTATGATTACCGATGGGTCTATCAGGCCGTCAGAACTGATTATCTGTCCTGACCAAGAATGGCCACATTTCTTGGTTCTGACTGCCTTCTCACCAAGCCACCTTCTGATGACAATTATCTTTCAGTATAAACTT